TTGGTACCTGTCCTGGATCTTGCTCTGTAGACCAGACTGGACTCAAACTCACAGAGATCTGCCTGGCTCTGCCTCCCAATGCTGGGATTAAAGGTGTGCGCCACCGCCGCCCAGCTGGCACACACCTTTAATCCTAGCACTCGGGAGGCAGAGATCCATCTGGATCTCTATGAGTTCAAAGCCACCCTGGACTACATGAGATTGATTTAGTCTAGGAGAGAAACAGCCAGGCAGTGGTGGCACACACTTTTAATCCTAGTACTTGGGAGTCACACGCCTTTAATTCCAGCACTTGAGATCTCATGCCTCTGCTACTAGTATTTGGGAAGCACACACACCTTTAATCCCAGCACTAGGAAGGAAGTAATATGGCTGGGCAGAGAAAGGTACGTAAGGCTTAAAGAGACAGACTCAGAGGTTTTCAGTCAGAGGATTCGTGGAGATAGGATCTCGTCTTCCATTCAGCCTGAGGATTTGGTAGTGATAAGAAGTTTCTCTAGTGGCTTGTTCCTTTGTCTCTGATCTTTCAGCATTTACCCCAATATCTGGCTCTGGGTTTTTATTGTAAGATCATTTAGGAATTTGTGCAATGTACATCCTTCGCTTTTGTGGTTTTGTTTTATTGAGAAAGAGTCTCACACTCACCAGGGATGAATATGGACTCTTCATTATCTTCCTCTATCTTCCACATGCTGGGGTTCCAGACGGGCGCCTCCATGGCCAGTTAGGTCCTACATCTTAATACGATGTCCTAGTTAATTGTACAGGTTATAAATGTCCACAATGCTGCTCTAAGTACTGACTGCTCTGTAATTTTTCTCTTAAGGTGAATGCCTGGGTGGTGCTTTGTACTGGAAGGATCTTGCCATCATTGCCCAGAAAATTGGGTTCTGTCCTCCACGTTTGGTCACTGCCAATCTCATTACAGTTCAAAACAAGGAACTAGAAAGTGTTCTTGGTAAGAAACAACAGCAGAGACCCTGTGACTGCCGTGGGGATGGTTTCCGTTCAGTGCTTAGTTAGTTTAAGGAGCAATTATTTTTTAAAATGAGCATTAGTGTTTTGCCTGCATGTATGTCTGTGGGAGGGTGTCAGGTGCCCTGGAACTGGAGTTACAGACAATTGTGAGCTGCTATGTGGGTGCTGAGAATTGAACCCAGGTCCTCTGGAAGAACAGTCAGTGCTCTTAACCACTGAGCCACCTCTCCAGTCCCCTTATTGAGTGATTCTTACCGAGGGAAACTGCGTCATCTGAAAGTGTCCACCTTGTCTTCTGAATAATTTCAGCTCCTCCCTCAGAGGGATAGTTAACAAACTATTTTATTTCAGTAAATAGACTGAAGCGCCCAGAAAGAATTGATGGCATGCAGTAAAGAATTCACCTTTACAGTATGCTCCATCCTCGTTTGTTGAATGCCATCTGGGTGTGGAAAGTGAGCCCTGTGTGTCTGCTTTCAGGTGACTGTCGCTTTGTGTCTGCCACATTTCGACTCTTCAAACTCCCTAAGATAGAACCAGCTAAAAGATGCCGAGTTGTGTACAAAGGAGGAATCACAGGGCATGAAAGAGAACTAATCTTCGATGCAAATTTCACGTTCAAGGTAAAAAGCTGCCCATGGGGATGGCAGTATGGCTCAAGAGTAGAGCCCTTGCCCGCATATGCAAGGCCCCATGTTCCATCTTCAGCTTTTTGGGGTGGGCAAGACTGGTACCCGTTATTTCTGTAGCGTTATTTCTTACCCTGGTGCCTCCCCACCCCCACCCCAGCCACAGCACCTTTCCTGGATCTTCAATTTGACCTTAAATTGCTTCTCACTATTCTGATGTTGGTTGGTTTGTGTGAATTTTGTTTTTCCCTTAATCGAAGCCTTCATTTTGCTTACAATGGAGTAATAAACTTTTTATATTTTCTTTTGACCAGTGATTCAAAGGCATAGAAATTAACAGACCCTTTTAATTAGTTTAAAATATTTTAGGTTTAATAAGTGCTTCAGGTTTGGAATTTCTAATAAGAACATATTATCTGAATGAATACTCAGTGGTATAGAGGGGCAGGAATTATCTTCAAAGCACCTCAGCTCTTGAGAGGAGGGCAGAGACACTCTGCTTTGTATTTCTGAGACATGCATTAGATGTCTGGTTGATTTTCCTTCTATGAGGACTTTGTTAAATGTCCATGACATGAGGTCCGCAGCCTTTGGAATATTTTGACATATTTACTCATTCTGGGCCACATCCTGGAAGGCCACCTTTTAAGATTCTGCACGGCTGTCAGACCCTCCGGATAATTAATGGCATCTCTGCCATTCCAGCAATGCACTCCTGTTCCATCTGTTCCTTCAGAAAACGTACTAGGCTCCCCAGAAGGCTCCTGGGGAGCCTTTTTGGGTCCCCTTTGTCTTTTGGCCTCTCTCTCTCCTGCGCTTCTCCAACCTTCTCGAGCCTTCCTCTCCTTTCTTTAGACTCTCACTGTTCACATTCGATGTTCTGCAGTTTTCTAGGCATCTGCTGAATTTCTTTCAGTCTTCATCATAATCCAGTTTACAGGCAAAGACAAGATGGCAGGCTCTTCTCTCCAGTGCTCTAGGAGTCTTCATGCGTGGGTTTTATCTCAGTGGCTCTGTCGTTGTCTTGAATGGAGGCATTTGG